CCCTCCGGTACCAGGGCTGAGGGACCCAGCCTGGGGCGACCCCGCTCCTCTCTGTCAGGGTAACTTGAGTAGATGTGAACAGGGGTGCTGGGATTGAAGAGGCTTACTCAGGAATAGCCCAGAAAAACTGGTGACGTTTCCTATAAGAACTTTCTGTCCTACCTGGACGAAGGTGCTCTGAGGAAGAGTCCACCTACACAGGTGTGTCTCCCGCCAACTGGTCATGTACCCATGGCTGGGTGGCTCAGTCGGTTAAGCGTCTGCCTTCAGCTCAGGTCACGATCCCCGGGGCCTGGGATCGAGCCCCACATCGGGCTCCCTGCTCAGTGGGGAGTCTACTTCTCCCTCTGACCCTCCCCCCTCTCATGCTCTCCCTCTCTCTGTAATAAATAAAATCTTAAAAAAAAAAAAAAGAAGCTTGCTTTCATACCTATCACCCCATTCATTTCAGCTGTCTCCCTGAGTACACCACTGTTTTCATTTGTCACCAAGCAGTCTTGGCGGCCGAGAAGAGAAGGCGCTGACTTGGAGATGGATTCTCAAGTAGCACATGTGTCTTCCAGTTTAAGTCACAGATCTGTTTATAAGTTTCTCTCTCGTGAATTACATGGGTGTGAAAATGATCACTCCTGGAAGGATAGAAAATAAAGGTCGCCAAAACCAAGAATCAGCCCTATTGCTATTTCTAGAAATCCTCTAAGAGCATTTCAGTTGTCTCATTGTCACCGTGGTGATGCGGGGCACAGTCCTGGGGATGGCTTCTAGGCAGTGGTCCTCTGCTTCCTCACTCCATGCATACCCCGCTCCTCTCACCCTGCATCCCGGAGCCACCCGCTCTCAGGCTATTTTGCACTCCATCACCTGGAGGCACAAAGCACTCCAACTTCTACTTCTTCTTGAAGACTTAGCCCCAACATCTTCCCCGGCAAGAAGCCTTCTCGGGCGCTTCCTTGCCTGAACTAGCTAGCCATCTACTCTCTCACTCATGGGACTGTAACACATGACTTTCTTTCTCCATTGCGATGCATGAGGCATTCACATGTGTGTGCACACTTCTACAACACACACACGTATATGTATATATATATATTTACATACACGCGCGCGTGCACTAACCCACTCATCGAGCACACATCATTGCAATGTTCTGCTATTCACCTTCAGGAAAATAAAGAGATCCATGTCACAGTCCCCAGGAAGCCTACCTGTTCACGAGGGGGTCATTCATGAATAGAAACAGTGGAAATACAAAGTGATGCTTTCCAATAGCAATGTGAGCTGTCTACTAAAATGCAGTCAGAGGCTAGCACTCAACTTCCCACTGAGATCATCAGGGTGGCAAACTCTTCAAAGAAAGAACTGGTCTAATTACCCCTGTGAGGCGCTGGTTGTGACGGTCAGAGACATGAACCAGAGCCGAAACAAAGGGGTCCGGTACTCGCGGGTGCTTAGCCGGGGACGAGGTTCCGAGATAGGAGGGATGAGACGTTAGGCAGGCTGGTGCGGGCTCCTCGGAGGGTGGACTCATGCACATAGGGGATGTTCATGGAGCGTGGGGGCTACATGAAGGATAAGGAGCTTGGACTCTGTTCAGGGAGCAGTGGGGAATTATAGAGGTTGCTTGTCCCCATGCCCCCTGCTATCACCTGGTCTATGGAATCCACCCTTCAACCCTCCCACCCCACCTCACTATAAGTGCCTGTCTGTGCAGGTGGGCACAGTGAGTCCCAGAGGGGAGACCTGGTGACATAGAATGTTCTGCCGTGGGGCCTCTGCCCTGCCCCCACCCCATGAGCACCATGACCTTCCCCAGCCCCTCCCCACTTTAAATGTACTCTGAGTTTGCTCCCAGCCCCAGTCAATCAAACCTCTGTCATCTGCACTTCCTGCCTCTGCCCAGTGGCTGGGGGAGGGGACCAGAGGGAAAGAAACATTTTGTATCCTGCTGTAACATTGTGGGAGCTGGGGGGCCACCATGATTCAGGTAGAGGGGGTGCTTTTACAAAAAGCCCTGCCTCAGAAAATATCTCCACCCAGCTCAGGAAACACAGCTCCTGGATGGGGAGTGGCTGGGAGGTGTCTCTGGAGCTGGTCCCTGGGTCCCAGACAGCTTTCCAGGAACGTGAAGGGCCAATGCATCAAAATGGGATCATCATGACCATTTTTGCAGTGATTAAAAAAAAAGCGGGGGGATCATCATCCAGCATTTTTCATAAAAACTTGCCCTTGACAAAAGTACTTACACATGCGTTTATTTATTAAGAACTCACAACAACACTGTGTAAAACCTACCACCCCACTTTTCAGATGAAGGAAATAAGGCCAGAGAGGTTGCAGGTCCTGTAAGTAGTAAGAGACAGGGTCTAGCCTGGAACAACCCCCAACTCCAGCCCAAACCCCCATCACCAATCCCCGTTCATTTTCCACCTCCACTGTATTGTCCCCAAGCCAGGTTGATTCTCCTCCGCAAACTGGAGATGATCTCCCGTGGCATGGACATTACTATGTCCAGCTAGCCCTGGAGGGGGGATGAGAGAAGCCCAGGAAGGAGGAGAGTGCACCCCCAGCTTGTGTCAAGGGAAGTAGGAAGGAGGAGAAATTCTTGGCAGCCCCTGCCCACTGTGCTATTACGGGGAGCAGCACTTTGGGCCAGGGACCCGGCTCACCGTACTAGGTAAGAAAGCCGCTCCCGGTGGGAAGGAGGGTGGGTTGCCCAGCCTGGACCATCCCCAGGACCTTGGCCCTCAAGGAGTGGGTGCTGGCCCCTCCCTGGGCCCCTATCGGGAGGGCGGGTTTGTGCCTGGGTCCCCAGAGCTGTGCAAACACGGGACAGCTGTACTTCGGGGCCGGTTCCAAGCTGACGGTGCTGGGTAAGGAGGTTAGCTGGGGGCTGAGCGCTCTGCGAGGTGGGGTGGAGACAGGTGGGCAGCTGCCCGGCTTCTGGAGCTGTGCTAGAGGCGGGGCTCGGCGCCTGGGCCGGGACTCCCGGTTCTGGGTGCGGGGTGCGCGAGGGAGCGGGGCTGGCAGGAGAGGGCAGCGCCGGATTTTTGCGCTGGGGCTCCGGGCTGTGAGTACAGAAACTCAGTATTTCGGCAGGGGCACCCGGCTGACCGTGCTAGGTAAGCGCGGGGTGCCCGGGGACGCCGGGGAGCGCGGTGGGGCCAGGGGACGGCGGGCCTGTTTTTGTGCTGCGCCGGGGGGCTGTGAGCCAAAATACCCAGTACTTCGGCGCGGGGACCCGGCTGTCCGTGCTAGGTGAGCGCGGCGCGCGGCGCGGCCGGGTTCTTGGCTGGGGGCCCGGGGCCGTGCTTTACAAACAGCCTCTGCCCTGACCTTCGGGGCCGGCAGCCGGCTGACCGTCGTGGGTGAGTGGCCGCGGGACCCGCCGCGAGCGCCGCGGGGTCGGGAGGGAAGGCGGCGGCCCCAGGGCTCTTCCCCGCCCGGCCCCTGGTGGGCTCCCCGCGCTGGGGCCCGGCTGCGAGCGGGAGCGGGAAGCGGCTGGGGCGCTGCGGGGTTTGCGTGTGGGGCTGGGCCTCTGTGCTCCTATGAGCAGTACTTCGGCGCCGGCACCAGGCTCACGGTCATAGGTGAGATTTGGGCGTCTACCCCCGCGGCCCCGCCACGGTCCCTCGGAGGCGGGAGAAGGCGCGGGTGGGCCAGGGCTGGGGCGCGCGGCCGGCTGTCGGTCCGCGGGGTCAGCCCGGCGAGGGGGCGGGGACCGGGTCCTCGCCGGCCGGGCACGAGGGCGGAGGGCCAGGGGGCTGTGGGGCTCTTTTCCTGTTCCTGGGGTATTTAGGGGCAGGGTGAGTGGGGCGCGAGAGCACTGATGAGGACGCAGAGCCGCTGGGTTGGGGGACAGGACTGAGAAGGGCTGCGGGGAGGAGAGGAGGGGTGTGGCTGCTATAGAAAGCGGGCACCGAGCCCGAGGGGCAGGAAAAAAAGCAAGGACAAGCATGGGACGGGCGGGCACCCAGCCGGGCGGGCTCCTGGGGGAGGTAGATGGAGGGGAGGCCGCTGAACAGAGGAGAAAAGGAATGAGAAACAGGAGAGGAATAGAGAGGCCAGATCAACGTGAGTCAGTGAAGAGAAGAGTCAAAACAAGCAGGGTTAGTTGATTTACTGTTGAGCATTTAAAATCATATTTAATACCCCTGCCTTGCTCTCCTAAGCCAGAGAGCCCCCTGAGGTGTGTCTACAGCACCCATTCCTGCCCGTGAGCTGGACTGGAACCCTCAGCCGCTGGGATGCATTCGCCCTGCCCCCCGCCCCCCACGTCTCCCTCTGCCCCCCAGCCTGAAATCTCGGACCTCACACGAAGAATTCCGGCGTCAACAGCCCAGGTGGTGGAGGAGGTTCAGCTGTTGCAAACGTATATTAAAATGCAGATATTTTGTTTGTGAGGTGAGGGAAGTTTCCAGGAGAATCCTAAGCTCCTAGATGTGGAAAGGAACCTCAAACATCACCTGGTGAGGAGAATGTTGAGGCCAGAGAGGGGAAGAAACTCATGATACTGGTACATTAACCTGGATTATTTGATAACAACAAGCCCCGTTTCTCCTTAGACTGTCATTAAGCCGGAGCCAATGGGGCTCATCTAAACTCTGTCCAGGGCAAATGCCAGATTCCTCTGATCAGCAGGGGTGGGCCCAAGACCAGACTTTAGAGCCAGATAAACCTGGGCCCCAGTCACTGGCTCGCTGATGATCAGATGACCTTGGGCAAATGAATCTGTGTGAAGTTCGGTCCCCTCTGTGGTACAAGGTCATCAGCAATACCTACCACTTACCGTTGCTGCGAGGGTGACCAACAGGAGAGCCTACGCGTAGAGTATGCAGGGAAGGTGGATTGTTATAACTTGGCCCTTCTCTTCTCCACCCTTCCTCTTGGTGGTCAGTGGGGCGTGAGGGGAAAGGGTGAGCCCAGTGCCCGAGGAGGGACAGGATTTGGCATGTGGATCATGGAGGGGAGGGCTGGGTAGGCGTGAGCGGTGGATCAGGAACAGGAAAGATAAACTTCACAGTGCTGCCTGAGGCCCATCCAACCCACAAACAGAGCATATATACAAACAGAAGCTCACTAGTACATACACTTACACCCACATAGGCAAGCTCACCCACACCCCACAGGGACTCACAAACATGGAAGGATAAACTGACCCTGCCCTCACACGGAGCTGTGTAGACGGGGGCTTCAGAGTGTCACGGCGTCCTGTTTGTCCTGCCTGTTGCGTCCATAAACATCGTGGGAAGCATCACACATGATTCAAAGGACATCACTAATTTTGCAAGAAGGACGGAGTGGGGGCCAGAGGAGTACATTCAGTAGTGCCCCAGGAGAGCTGGTCCAATTTCAGAGCCAGGGTCTTTGAGACAAGAGTGACGACACCAGGCTGAGCAGAGAGATTGATGGAGCTGGGCCGTACAGATGTGAGGGTGTTACCACCTCTGGTAAAGACCTAGAGACATCGTCTGGGTTAGCAAGTAGGAGTTGCAGGGAGGGGAAGCTGGCAGGATGGGAAGCCCGACCAGCTCAAAATGAAAATGCCAGTCTCTTGTTAAAAATTATTTAGAATTTCAAGATGGTGACAACGGGCCTTAAGCCAAGGGTGGGGCCTTTGTAAGCACAAGGTCCTGTACACGGGTCCTACACTTATGAAGCTGGCCCCGGAAGTTAGGGCCCATCCAGAGAAATGGGAAGTGTCAGAAGGACATTTTCTCCATCTTCCATTCTAAACTAGAATCTCATAAGGAGATTTTTCATTTTAACAGAATTGCCAAAAAATGAACAACAAAAAAATCCGTGGAAAGCAAAGAAGGATAAAATGAATGCACAGCAGACTCAGAAGAAGGGAGCCAGCAAGAGAGGGTGGTCTGCGCCCTCACCCCCGACTCTGCAGAGGAGAGGCTTTGCACAAAAACTGTATCAAAGCAGCTGCTAGCAAGAAGTTGCTCTGATGATCTCAGATGCTTATTCAGGAAGCTGACTGGTAGAAAAAAAGTATCACATTTGGAAGCAAAGGCGCAAAGAAAGTTGACAAATCCCTGAATTTGATCTAAGGAGAGATTGCTCTCTGCGCTGAGGAACCTCAGGGGGTACTACCCTCAAAGCAGAGGAATGGCGAGGGAGGACCTCATAAACCACAAAGAAAGTCAGAAAATCGCACATTCTCATGAGCACGCCAGAAAACAAAAGGGTACCCTTGCCTGAGTGAACAACAATATGCCATTTGTAGATTGTCATCTGAAGAGAATCCCCAGCCCTCAAATGACCCCCTTTGCCCAATTCCCCTTCACTCCTCAGCCTCTTCGATTTCGAAGCAATTCACCGGCTGAGGACAGAGGCCGTCTGAATGCTCATGTCACTTAACCTCCATGGCCACTCCGGAAGGTCAGGGTCAGGATTTTCCCTTCAGAAGCAGGAAAAATGATGCAGAGAAATGAAGACACTGTCCCAAAGGCACACTGGTGGGCAAAGTCAGTTTTAAGATTTGGATCCTATTATTCTGATTCCAATCCTGTGCTCACTGCCCTTGAATAACTACTACGTTATATAGTGAAATGTAGACACGTAAGCCTTTTACTGATGGAAAAGAGGTCAAATAACATCAATGAGGGGACGTTACTCAGAATGTCTACAGGGTGACTGCAAAGGACAGGCAGGGCAGACGAACAATTACAGAGGGATGGGGACAGTGACCCCCAAACACACAGGACCTACTACTACATAATTCCGCTTAGGAGGACTCCATTTCCAGCTTTATCTCTGCCTCTCTCTTTCTTTATTTCTGTATCTGCCTCTGCCTCTGCCTCTGTCTCTGTCACACACACACACACACACACACACACACACACACACACACACACACACCCCAAACCCAGACAGCTCTCAGACCAGCCCTGGTCCCAACCTCTCTTCCCTTGCAGAGAACCTGGAAAAGGTCAAACCTCCCACGGTCACAGTGTTTGAACCATCAGAAGCAGAGACCTCCCGCACCCAGAAGGCCACACTCGTGTGCCTGGCCACGGGCTTCTACCCCGACCACGTGGAGCTGAGCTGGTGGGTGAACGGGAAGGAGGTCCAGAATGGGGTCAGCACGGACCCGCAGCCCTACAAGGAGCGGCCCAACGAGAATGGCTCCAGCTACTGTCTGAGCAGCCGGCTGAGGGTGTCCTCTGCCTTCTGGCACAACCCTCGCAACCACTTTCGCTGCCAAGTCCAGTTCCATGGGCTCGGGGACGACGACAAGTGGGAAAACACCAGCCGGCCCAAACCCATCACCCAGAACATCAGTGACGAGACCTGGGGCAGAGCAGGTGAGCGGGGCCTGGGGGGCTGGGTGGGGAGTGAGTTAGAGCACAGAAAGGGGGGATCCAGGCAGAAGACCAGGCAGACACCGGACAGGGCGGGAAGACTAAGGCCCAGCGTGAGGGTGAACGGGCACCTCGGGGCTAATTCCTCCCCAGATCCTCAGCCCAGCAGAGCCTTGCAGCTGGGGTCCCCTCACTGTCCGAGCCTGTATGGCTCAGCACTGACGGGGGTGCCCCCAGCCCCTCTGTGCCACCACACTCCATGGGGTCCTGGGATGGTGTGGCTCCGCGGGCACAGCACCAGAAAGACGGTCTAGGCGTCTGCGAGAAGCCTGGTCTGAGCCTGGGGGTCCGTGCTAACCAGGAGGCTGACTTAGTGTGTTTGTGTTTGTGTCTGGTCGGTTCTTAACTGAAGCACAGCTGACAAATAGTATTGCCTTAGCTTCACGTGTGCCTAACTTGGCAGCTTTCCGTCTGCTTTAAAAGATGGGGTCTCTCATCCATTCCCTCCGCCTTCTCTCTTTCAGACTGTGGCTTCACTTCAGGTAAGTGACCCTCTCCTCTGCTTGTTCTCCGTCTCCCATGGTTTTGTCCTGCAAGCCAAGCATGGAGAACCATGGACCCCGGGGTGGGGGGTGGAGAGGCCAGAGACACCTGCTCACAGGTCCCTGTGCGCTCTCCCTTCCCGCCCACAGTGGCCTATCAGCAGGGCATCCTGTCTGCCACCATCCTCTATGAGATCCTGCTGGGGAAGGCCACCCTGTATGCCGTGCTGGTCAGCGCCCTGGTGCTGATGGCCAAGGTAAGGAGGTGGGCAGGATGGGGCCCTGGAGGGGACACTTAAAACATAGCAACTCAGAGCTGGGAGTATCAAGAGACCTTGCTTGGGCCAGGGGTGGGCAGTAGAAGAAGACGGAGGTCCACCCACAGGCCTCAGAAGACACACTGTACCTCTGGGATCACAGTGGGGGAGCCAGGCAGAGAAGGAGAAGCTGGGGTCACATGAAAACCCAATGGACATGGTAAAGAGAACTACCATTCGTCTTGTCAGCGGACCATCTTACTTCCTCTCCATCCCCATCACTCCTGACTCCGGCTAACCCCTGGAACCTTCTCTTCTTCAGGTCAAGAGAAAGGGTTCCTGAAACCAGCTCAGAGGCAGAGCTAGGAACTTCCAGCTTCTATTGCCCCAGTATGGATTCTCCTTTCTCCACTTCTAGCCGGTGCTTCTCAAGAGCTGTCTTCATCTCTCTGTTCACCCCAATAGCTACCCCCTATGTTCATGCACACCTGGACGCTCATGACCCAAATCTCCCTAACCCAGGGGGGACCCTAGCCTGACCAAATTGACTGAATCAATAAAAATGGCCTGTTCTGGCTTGACTCTGCCTTGTGATGTCTGGATATCTCTTCTGCCCATGGCTGACCTCCCATGTGACTCCAGTCAGGCTAGAAACAAGAGGTTTTTGAGGAAAGAGCAGGTCCCTCCGGTACCAGGGCTGAGGGACCCAGCCTGGGGCGACCCCGCTCCTCTCTGTCAGGGTAACTTGAGTAGATGTGAACAGGGGTGCTGGGATTGAAGAGGCTTACTCAGGAATAGCCCAGAAAAACTGGTGACGTTTCCTATAAGAACTTTCTGTCCTACCTGGACGAAGGTGCTCTGAGGAAGAGTCCACCTACACAGGTGTGTCTCCCGCCAACTGGTCATGTACCCATGGCTGGGTGGCTCAGTCGGTTAAGCGTCTGCCTTCAGCTCAGGTCACGATCCCCGGGGCCTGGGATCGAGCCCCACATCGGGCTCCCTGCTCAGTGGGGAGTCTACTTCTCCC